ATTACATTCTGTTAACAGATTTTAAAGGGACACTATTGTCACCAAAACAACTTTAGTTTAATGAAGCAGTTTTAGTGTATAGATCATGTCCCTGCAGTCTCAGTGCCCAATTCTCTGCCATTTAGGAGTGTAATTGTTGCAGTGTAAGCATGCAGAAGCCAAACACAAAGATATTGGACACAGGTCTTCAGGAAGTAAGAGGCCTTTATTCACATTACCGATCGGGTCTCAGATGAACTCCTGTTCCAACATTCTGAGAGACCAACACATAGTGTACATTCCTTATATAGCCCTATAATTCCTCCCATTAATAGCTACACCCACATATACCTTTAACCAATCAATGTGCAGAATATAGACTTGTACATCTAGTCAAACCACATGGCTCATCCAAGACAAAGGAAATAAGTGCAATTTCAGTTCCTGCATTCCTGCACATGCTCAGTACATTGATGACAGTATCCTAGCTACGTGTAGCTAACTAACTGACACAACATACACATATGCCACATGGAGATTTTGGCCTACTAAATTTTGACCATGCTGGAATCCCATCACATTCCCCCCTTTGATGCCTCTGATATAACATTATTCCAGATGCATCACCAATCACAGTTTTACCTACATCTCTCAAGTAGCCATTGAACCAGAGTAGACCTTGTAAGCATCTTAAAAACTCCTTCAACATTCTTCATCCTGAATATATTCTCTTCGGGCTAGGGGATCATATCTTCCAGACAGCCATTACATGGGCAGCTGTCTTTCTCTCTATAGTACTCTCTATAATACTACGTAGGGACCTTACCACTAATGGAATTAGACAGGGCAGGAGGAGGCACAAAAAAATATAATAAATTCTACTCCTCCTACTAATGTCTTAATTCCTCCAAGCTGCTCATACCAACTTCCAAACCAACTACTTAGGTTATACCCATTCCAGACCTGAGTAGCTACATGCACAAATTTAACCATGTGGCTTGTAAGTTCAGCCACTGCCTGCCCTTCATCATCTATGTGCAGACAACAGTTACTTAGATTAAACTTTCCGCATACACCTCCTTCTACTGCTAGTAACTAATCAAGGGCTAACCTATTCTGGTATATGGCTGATCACATCTTGGTATTTTGCTTAGCTAGAAGATTAAGCGCTTGAGCTGTCTCATTAGTAATAATCTCAACTACCGCCTGTAGTCTAATAATGCAGTTGAGCATATATATCGGAGTTCTATATCCATAAGTGCCATCTTCTGCCCAAGTAGCAGGTCCATAGTAATTAATACGTTGAGGGGGCCACTCATTATCTTCCCAGCTACCTATATTCAAGGATGCTCTCTCCCTTTTATGATTTACATCGTAAACCTTAACTCCCAAGGTCTCTCCTGTTTCGATTGGCAACAAGAAGAAGGATGGCTTTGGCATACCTAATACACATGCCCCTTCCCAATCTTGTGGTAACTCTGAATAAGCTTTCCTACCACAGATCCAGTATAAATTTGCTGGGGCTTTCCAAATAGATGTAGCCGATAAGTCAAACCATACCTCCTTTAAATGAGTGTAATTGGCAAACGGATTAGTAGGCTCCGAGACATTTGAAGCTGACCACCAAGTAGTATTTTTAGTATTAACATTATAGGCTTTTTGTCCCAAGCAAGTTAGCTCACCTACAGACGTGTTATACATTGTCCCTTTCCTGGCTATACAAACATGACCTATAATGGAGGTTTTTAACCGCCATTCCAATTTACTTCTAGTACTTACTTGATGATCAGACTGGAAAGGTATCTGTTGTTCATATGTCTCAGAGCCAGGGTACCATATTTCCTTTGCCTCCCATGGCCACTGGTCTCCCATATTAGTACCTCCACACACATAGCAATTAGTTACATTAAGACTACCTGCAATACCCTCAGCCAAATCAATAAATCTGTTCTTAACATTATGGGGAATTTTATCCTCAATACTCATCTCCTCATAGAAGGAATGAGAAACCTGATGAGTTTGAGTTGCCACTGTCTCAGTTTCAAGACCTACATATATTATTGTTCCTGGATCTACTCCTGTGCCATATATTTGGAACCCAAACAGACCTCCAAACCTGTCAATAAAGTGCTGCAGATTGGAAATGGTCATGTGAACGGGGTTACACACATAGTTTTACAGTATGGTGTGGTAGGCAACCTTTGGATAATCATATCTTGATCCACTGTTTTTCCCAGGTTGCCCAACCTACACATGACCAATAGGGGCAGAAGTTAGTCTCTATTTGGGCAATCAGGATCAGTAGATCTTTTACTGGGACATAAGTATTTATCATTAAACCCATAAGTTCGTTCCCATTTAAGATTACCACATACATTCCAAAGTCTTCCACTACCCGAAATCGCCTTACATGCATCAAATAGTAGAATACCCGTGGAATGTATGGTGCTTATCACAGTCCTATTTATTAATGTCCCCTGGGAGTTACTATTCCGAATTACCAACCAAATTGTACGGGGTTGGAATTGGGGATCAAAACATTTAGACTCTCCTGATATTGGCTTGCACACACTATAATCAATATCCAAATATCTACATTTAGATACAGATCCCTTACATTCATACTGTGAGTGCCAGATGAGAGTTTGGGATATTTGGTTACCTGTTTTAGTAGTCTTAATGCAACTATCGCAATTCGGTATGTCTGTACTCCCACCTTCCTGAAAAATCATAAAAATACTAAGACATAATAAAACACATTATTCCTGAAATCCTAATTTTTCTTCGACCGTGCGATGGCCTCTCAGCTTCCCGATTGTGAGGGCTGCAAGGATGTTGTTCTTCTGATCCTCACTTTCCTTCACAGAGATCCCTTCGAGATACTCTGACTATGACACGTAGGCAGGTGGTCAGGCTTTATTATGGCCGTCAAAACACCTACTTGATGATCTTTGTAGACTTTCAACTAGAATGTCTCGCTATCCCCTCGTCACTCCGACTGAGTTGCACGCTTCAACCGGGTCCTGCAAGGATTCTCAGGATCTGGAGTAGCTTGCCAAGAGTCTGCCGCTGGTTTAAACTTAGATTGATGAATCCAAGGAGTCACTTCCACCACCTTTACAGCTATTGGGGTAGATAAAAGAACAAAATACAAAGGCTAACAGGATACACCCCGAGCTTTAACTCAATATGTATTGGTGGGATATTACGAGCAAGTCCTGGAGGATTATTTTCTTCCCATACTCCTGGAATGTCAAATAAGGATTCATCAGTCTTAAGGTTAACACTTGTCACTATGGAATAGAAGCGTCATTCTTCTTCCCTTGGCACCGATATCACCATTATGCCTGGTAATCCCTTAAACTTCAGAGATGTTGATCCATTAGATAAAAGGTTATCTGAGCTTAAAGCTTCGATAATAGATCTCGTCCTAAAAGTTGAATCGGACACTCTGGCATATATAGGAACTGATGCTTCACCACATGGCCTCCCAGAATACAAGTGCGACTCTTAAGAACCGGTCTAGCTGCACTTCTCCCAGTAGCTCCTATCACAGTTATAGTCTTCCCCGAAGGCGGAGCCACCATCTTAGTCACCACAGAATGTTCAGCACCTGTGTCGATCATGAAAGAACTTCTCTTTCCCCCTATTGCTACATCGACCATAGGCTACGCTCAACCAAATGGGATGGAGCCCGGTCGGTGTCAATAGTCTTCCATGATAGTGTCAGCCAGACCCACAAAATCTCTATCCTTTCTTTCTCTAGGTCTCTGCATGGGTAAATAGTATCTGTCTCCTTGAACACTTCCTCTACTATTCCCATCATTCCCTCTAAAACTTCCTCTTCCTCTGTAACTACCACTATAACCTTCTCGTACCCTTCTCTCTCCCCTTGTCTATCACCTTCATGCTGCTCTCTCTGTGGACACTCACTCTTCCAATGTCCCTCCTTTCTACAATACGCACATTAATTCCTACTTAAAGGTCCCTTGCTCAGCCTATTCTCGTCTCCTCTATTCACTTCCCTGTCTTTCTACACTTAAGATAGCTACTGCTAGCATATCTGCCTTTTTCCTCATTTTACGTTCTTCCTCCCGCTTTACCTCCGTCTCCCTATTCATACATACTGTATTTGCAATCTCCATTAGCTGTAATATGGACATCCCTACAAATCCCTCTAATTTCTGTAATTTCTTTTTAATATCACCTTGGGCCTGGCTGACAAATGCTGAGTCTATCATTCGGAAGTTTTCAGGGGCTTCAGGATTGAAAGGAGTGTACAATCTATTTGACTCAAGCAGTCTCTAATATGGGACTTCGGCAAGGCTGCTCAATAATAGGTTCCAGTCTAGGAGTAGTAAGATAAGTGTAAGGGGGTGAGCTAATTTTATTAGTCAGCATTTGGTGGATAAAAAAAAATGTTGTTTTTTAAAAAGTGTTAAACCAAAAACCTACCAGTAGGTGTCACCAGAGGGTAATTGTATCAAAATAATCTTTATGGGTCTAATAAGAAAACTTAACTTTTAATATATTTATACATAAAATAAAACCTTATAGCAATAAATATATTAAAATAGGGTAAGCCATCCTACTTCTATCTGTTATGAACAATGTATTATCAATGTAACTCCCGAAGATGGCCCGTAGGTGGCCCTAGAGTGCCTCCCTAAAGTCTAATGAAGCAAATAGACTTTAATTAATTATGTCCTATTTTATCATTACTTATTTTAATCACTGTCCACCCTGATATCTAGGCTTGATTAAATCTTTAGTTCTAAGGTAAATTAAACATTTCAGTTTGTAGTTTAGTAAAAGGGGACATTTTGGACAAAGCTGGGAGGGGCCCATCCAGTAACTAAAAAAAGACAATATACTATCTTATACCATTGATCATTGATTAGGGGGAAGGGGAGTAGTACAGAAATACAAGAGTTTGAAACAAAAGAACAGATAGGTATGTGGGTAGGCGGGGACAGTAGAGCAGGGGGAGTGCAAATACTGACTATACCAGTTTTTAGCTTGGGAAGAAGAATAGGGGCGTGGCTACTCTAGCTCTGGAGGATGAATAGGGGGGTTGGTAATCAGATGCCAGGGGGGAGGGGATGTCCAAAGCAGTTGTAATCAAGGCCTTAGTTCTGACCACCATATGGCTACATTGTTTCCCATATGACACAGTTTAACTCACCAAGGCAGTTTTTCAACAATCAGTTTCCAACAGTCAATTTATAGAAACTGATCATAGAATTCCAGCCTACTAGTTACAGCCACATGTACACCCTGCACTAAATTTAAGTGAAGACTGCTACATGGAGGCCATGCAGCCACCAGGACAGGCTACTCCCTACTTTTTTTTTTTTTTAAACATACAAGACAAAAGACTAACAGCCTAGTGAATCAGAAGATTATTTCAACAGAACGTCTGATTCAAAAAGCTGTACAAATATACACACAGTTTCAAGTCACACCAATCTCCTTATCACCAGCAACACATTGCGCAGTCACTAGGCCCAAACACACACACAGGATCCTCACATGCTCAACAATATCACGACGTCGCACACACGAAATTAAATCAAAAACCCACCAAAGACTATACACTTATCAATGTAACTATTATTCAAACCATACAACTATCCACGCTATTAATCCATATAAACTAACCGATCACATAACATTTCAACAATTTCATCTCTACAATTATCCGTACTATAAATCAACTTTTGACTAACCAACTATATCACATTCTAGTAACCTCATCTTTACAGTCAGTGGTTATGGTACAGTTAGTAAGTGGTTATAATACAGTTTTAAAGTCACAGATCAGTTAGTAACAGTTATGGTATTATACATATAACATAAAACAGCAATTGTTAGTAATTTTTACACAATGTCAGTGGTTATGGTACATGTCAGTAGTTATGGTACCGTGCGCTATTTTACAGTTATACACACAATTTACACTCCCACTAGACAGCAGAGCTCTAACTTTCTAGTAGGACATACAAGTTAACCAATTCACCAATTACAATATATTTAACAACATTTACAATAATCCCAACTATTCTAACTGGCCAGCACCTTGAGAGCTTTCGATCTATTTATACACCAGAGATTCGATAAGTTCTTCGCTGCCCAGACGCCACGTATAGCGAACTAGAGGGCAGAATTTACACAGTACCCAGCTAGTCTATGAAACCATCAATAATCTAGTGGCTGGATTTACAACAGAGCACACTTAGTTAAGATAGGGTGAAATTTAGCAAACTATAATATACAACAGAGTATGCTAGTCTCCCGGTCCCCCCGACCTAGCGAACAAAATTTACACCCTAGATACGCTAGTCAAGACAGGACACCGGTGTCCGACATGAGCTATTTACACCAGAACTCAGTCTGACCCAAACCACCTATATTAGACGGGCTGACTACAGAGCGTCTAATTTCCAGATAAGCGTTGCGCTTTCGCTTCTTCCATCCATTAGGACAGGGCAGATTCCAATAACCGGTTCCAAATATAAAACCCCTTGTGGGTCTACCGCTCTAACGGTATCAATCTTACCTGTTAGTTCCTGGACCTGGGTTCACTCATAGACGGAACAATCCGGGACTCACTGCGCAGAAGCCGATGATCTCCTGGACAAAAGGCCAGTGGCGCCGAGACGAAAGGAGGTCCACGCAGTAGAAGTCCAGGATTGTAGCGTAGAAGGTTTGGTAAAAGTTTACCGTCTCAAATCTCTGCCCAGCTTCCGTGCGATGAGGTTCCCGCTGCCAATGCACCAGAGATGTTGCAGTGTAAGCATGCAGAAGCCAAACACAAAGATATTGGACACAGGTCTTCAGGAAGTAAGAGGCCTTTATTCACATTACCGATCGGGTCTCAGATGAACTCCTGTTCCAACATTCTGAGAGACCAACACATAGTGTACATTCCTTATATAGCACTATAACTCCTCCCATTAATAGCTACACCCACATATACCTTTAACCAATCAATGAGCAGAATATAGACTTGTACATCTAGTCAAACCACATGGCTCATCCAAGACAAAGGAAATAAGTGCAATTTCAGTTCCTGCATTCCTGCACATGCTCAGTACATTGATGACAGTATCCTAGCTACGTGTAGCTAACTAACTGACACAACATACACATATGCCACATGGAGATTTTGGCCTACTAAATTTTGACCATGCTGGAATCCCATCACATAATCTCTTTTGTTTCTGTTAATGCAGCCCTAGCCATACCTCCCCTGGATGTGACTGAGACAATATGTATGAAAACAAAATGGTTTAATTTTAAATCAGATGTTAGCATGCTCTAGAAGTTTTTATCTCCTTCTCTGTGAATTATATGACATACAGGAGACTCCTGCAAGGTTAGAAGGCTATTAGCAGAGCATGAGATAAGACATTTTAAATTTAACAGACTGTGAAATAAAGTATAAACATTAGATCTCACTTTACAGGAAGTGTTCAGGAATGCTGTGCAAGTCACATGGGCTGCACACTCGGGCTGCATAAACAACGTGATTTAACTCCTAAACGTCAGAGAATTGAACAGTGAGACTGTAGGAGCATGATCTATAAAGCAAAACTGCTTCAATAAGCTAAAGTTGTTTTGGTGTCTATAGTGTCCCTTAACCCCTTAAGGACCAAACTTCTGGAATAAAAGGGAATAATGACATGTCACACATGTCATGTGTCCTTAAGGGGTTAAAATTACATTTATTTTACCTTAAAAGTGATACAAAGTTCCCAAGGCCTCATCTAATCTTTCTCATGTGTTGTGCAACACACAAAAGATACCAAAGGCAATTCCTGGCATAATTGTGAGAAGATATGAAAAATCCCATTGACAGTATGTGTGGAAATACAAAAGCAATTATACAATGGTGAGAGCAGCCATCGGTAGTTGTTACCAAAAGGATAACCTTCCAGGGCGAGTCAAGGGCCACTGCCATCTAAGTACATGACTTTTCAGGCTAACCAGCCTAAAGGTGTAGATATCTCCAAAATGTGCGTGTGATTGGATAGGTATTTTTTATACATAAACCTGTGTATAATGTGTGTATGAGCATCTGTATATAGTGTATGCAAGTGTGCGTATAATGCATATAAGAAATGATTAGTTGGTAGGTGGGTACGTGCATTTGACTGCACTTGTGGATATATATAGGTTGTTGAGATCTTTAGGACTCGGTAGATTAATAGGTGACAAGCCGTATTGCCCCGCTACAGTCTGTAATGAATGCTGCCGCCAGACTGATTTTCCTCTCTGGTCGGTTCTCTGACACCTCACCCCTCTGTCAGTCCTTACATTGGCTTCCTGTATCCTACGGGAGTCAATTCAAAGAGCTAACCCATACTTTTAAAGAACTGAACAATTCTAGCCCCTCTTTTATCTCTTCACAGATCCATAGGTATGCCCCTTCTTTGTCTCTCCACTCAGCCCATGATCTTCTCCTGTCTGCTGCTCGCACCCGTACGGCCAACTTGCGCTTGCAGGACTTCTCACGGGCGGCTCCCTTCCTATGGAATAGCCTGCCTACCGCCATCAGTCTCTCCCCTAGTCTTCAATCGTTTAAGAAGTGCCTTAAAACCCATCTCTTTAGGAAAGCATATGGCCTCCCAGATTAACTTCTACCACACATACCTGTCTCTTGCTCTCTCCTAAAGGGCAGCACTCTACTTTCTCCTCCAGCTCTGCTTCACTCCCACCTTATTTGATTGCTATTTCCTGTCCTAATGTGTTTTATACCCCACCTCCTATAGACTGTTAGCTCATTTGAGCAGGGCCCTCTTAAACCTATCGCTGTAAGTTTTCTTGTAATTGTCCTATTTATAGCTAAATACCCCCTCTCATAATATTGTAAAGCGCTACAGAATACGTTGGCGCTATATAAATGGCGATAATAATAATAATAATAATAATGCAGTGGGTGTGGTGAATGTGGGTGGTTGTATGGTGTGCTTCACATTGACTGGAAGAAAAGGGGATTATTGCTATAGTTCTAGTTACGAAAAAAGTTCCCATCATTACTGTTGGCTGTTACTTATTGTTTGAAAGCTTTATTCGCTGAAGTATAAACTGTTGTGAATTCAAAATGAATTTGAAATTTTGGATCTGAATAGCTAAATGGAAATGTTCTCTGCACCATCTCTGTTTTAAATGTTTTTTATTTTTTTTATTTTGTCCTAATTTCACATTCACTTGGAAATCACTTTGAATATACAATACATACTTCAGAGAGTGGTCGAATCTTGATGGCAGATGCAGCAGTTGAAGAACTGTCTTTATCTCCTCAAAACCTGGCATGCGTAAGAATTCTAATTCCTGATTACTAAGAACATATAACATACTTTGTGTAACTCGTGTAAAAAAAGTTGCCATGTACAAACTGCTTACTGCCATAGCTGTAAACATTTCCGCAGCAAATTAATACACAGCTTGTTCTCAGAACAATTTTTTTTACTATCAATTAGAGCATATTTTGCTCCAATTCCATTTTCCATTCAGCTTTTGCCTATTTCTGTTTCTTAAACTTTCCTTCACTCCTAAGATTGTATCTATGTCATTCTGTAACTTTCCATTGCTCTAATGAGTTTACCATTCTGCAAGTCATTTATCGTATATTTTAACTTCATGCCACACACACATCACATATGTCTATAAATCTCTCTAACACCCTACTCTGGTTTTCCTTCTTCACCTCCCACACCAATTTGTTTCTTGTATTAAAAAAATGCATGTTGAATATTTATGTATCAAAGATTTATATTAGATTTCTCTCTATATATATTTATGGATTGTTTATTCTTTTGTTGTATCCTCAAATATATTTCTTATATTTATGCTACAGCGACACAACCAGAACACCATTTTTCTTTTTTCTTGTTTATGTTAAAAAATATTTAAGTGACGTGTTAGCATGAAGTGTGATAGTGAGAACATACTTCTAATAATATTGATGGCACTTTTTGTGTTTACTGTTGGAGTTATGGGATATTATATGTGGGGAGTGGGGGGGGTTTCTTTTGTTTGTGTTTTTTTTTGTTTTCTTTATGTTACTTTCATAGCGGAAGAAAAAATTTAGATGAAAGACGTTATCAATTAAACCTTTGACAGGTAAAATGTGTGTTTGAAGATTTACCACCTCAATACTAATTATAAGAGTAAGGAGGGCTAGTTTATTGATGGAGTGTTTGAAGAAATGCCCCTTTTATAATGTATATGCACTTCTTGTATTTGTTTGTCCATAGCAATGTTTCCCTATGGCAT